CCCCCCAAAAAAAAACCCACCCCAAACTCTCAAATTACCTGTATTTCCCAAGTCTATACAGAGAACTTTACAGCTCCATTTTCTATAGAGTTGGGTTATGGTCTAGTACGGTATCTTGAATCAGGATAAACAGGACAGCAGCTTGGGTGCTTTTAACCTTTGTGAAACTGCCATTCCATTAGCTCTCTGAACTGGTTTTTTCCTTTTTTTTTTTTCCCCTTTTTTTTTTTCTGACAATCTGCCCACTGCTAGTGAATGAGCAACTTGACCCACTTTTTTGACATGATTAATAAGCAGCTTGTCTGGCTCTATGCAAGTATGTTTTACTGACTTTAAAGTGTAGCAGTTAGTGGAGGGAGAAAATAAAACCAACCCAAACCTCTTGTGTTTTTCTAACAACCTTCTTCATACAATTTTCTGCTTTTATTAAGCAGGCTTCTGCATTTTATTAATCAGGAGCCACACATTTTGTCTTTCAACATACTGGAAGAATAGTATGTAGATTGCTCTTTCTCCTTAAAATGAGAATTTGTTGTGTGTTATGATGTTCCCTCTACGAATGCTGACTTTTCTGTGGAATACAGCAAACCTGTACAGGTTCTCTGCATATACTAAGATAAAACCAACACAGAATATTAAAGATAAGCCTTAAACTTGGATATTTATGCATGAATAAGTTTCTCTGTCCTTTTAGTTTCTTAGACTTTACAGCATTTAGTGTATCAGAAATAGGCATTGTGCCCCTGAGATGTCTTACCGACTCAAAGCCATTGCTAATACAGTTCTATTGAATATGGCCCTGCAACTCTGTGTAGGTAACAAATGTGATAATAACACTTTAAAGGGAATAAGAATGGGATCTCTAAACTGAGAAGATATGTTATCACTGCACTACTTACAGGCTGTTGCTGGTTTTACTGTTCTGTTCTCTGAAATCTTTTTTAAATTACAGTTTCTATACATATAATTCAATTAACCTGGTGTTGAATAAATAGTATTTTTTTCTATTCCAAACAAGTGGGGTTTAGCACTGCTTGGCACTGCTGTCAGGTCCTTCTTGTGAAATTGAAGTACTTTGTACTGGGAATACTGAAGTCAGACGTGCTGGCAAATAGAACTGAGACATCTGTTCTGCAACTGGAAAGCAACATTCTCCTTGGGGTTTCCTTAATCCTTAAACAAAGTGAGACTTTGTGCCCTAGATTTTCATAGTTCTTTCCTACCCAAGACATGGATGATGCATAGTTGTGCCTAGGACATGCTTCTCTAGCTTCTCCAGTGCTTTAGTGATACTTCTGCATCACTTGGGCAGCTTTTGGAGGTGGACAGTTCTACTGTACCTGACAGATTCATTTTTTGTGGTTGGTCTCAAGCTTTTGGGATGCTTCAAGTTATTGGGGTTTCTACCAGATATCAGAAATGGAATGAAGAGTAGCAAGCAGGTAGTAATGCAACTAGTTATCTCAGTCATTGTGCTAATTAGAGGCAGTTTTATTATTAGTTACTCTTGAGCTGCTATTTAGTGTTGAAGAATGTTTTACTGACCTATGTGAATTTTCACCTTTAGGATGATCTGCAAACATCCTAAGAGATGGCCAGTTGATCAGCTATTTTCTTTTAGAATTTATTCTTTAATTATAATTTTCAGTATCTTTTCTTTAATTATGATAATTATAATTCCACAGGATGAGGAAGTTAAGCTGTCACTTCCTGCAAATACAAAATCATCTTGTAAAATATGGGGAAATGTGTGTTCTGTTTTTCCTGCTTCTTGTGCAAATCATTAACTGTCTTAGAGTGGAAGCTTCTTACCTTGTCAATAACTACCTCCTGAGTCCAGCAATAATTGGCAAGGTATACACTCCTCTGGTGGATTCAGTATACTGGCTCAACACTGCAGATTCTTCAGTCTGGTCTTCTGATTTGAAAATGCTTGACGTTACTTCTGGAAACTATGGTGATGAACCTTATTTTGCTGTAAGACTCTCCTTGCCTTCATAAGATACACTTCATACAAAAATACTTTCTTCAGAGAAGTGGCTTTGAGGATAAAAAGTCGGTGTTCTTTGTAGTTGGTTAATACAGGTGTAGTTGTCAAAGATGCTGGGGTGTGGCCTCTCAGTTATGCAGGGTTTTCTCCCATTAGAAGTGGGGAAGAAGGTACTTTGTCTAATAGTCGCACGCCTGCCAAAAGGACTGGAAATACAGAAACTGCTTTTGCTACATAATTCAAATTTCTAGTCATATCAAGGGCTAGTCAGTATTTTTCAGAAATCTCTATTAAAGTGATGAAAACCAAAGGTGGAGACAAAACACTGCACCCCACCCCCATAAAATATATTGAATAACTCCAGTCTGGGATGGGATTAATATTTGTATTTTGTTGTTTAGAAGCACTTTTGTTTCATTGTTCTTTTAAGAATGTTTTCTGAAATGTTAAACACCATTTTACTAATAAGCAATGTAAAGAAGCATGACAAGCAGTCACATAGCTTTAGCTCACAATAAAATGTTTCATTTGTCCTGTTATTACTGTTTTCTTGTCTGTTTATCAGATAACACGTCCAAAACTAAAAGCCTTTTCATTAAACTTGAAGCCTATTAAATTGCTGCTGGTTAAAAAAAAAAGAATTAAAAACATCAGGTGTTGTATACCAAATGATGGAACAATAAATATGTAAATAAATCAGTTTCTAAAGAACGTTAACTCAAGTTCTTAAAACTAATGTAAACAGAAGTGCTACTTCCTAAATAAATGTGCTTAAACTGAAAGTGTGTGCTTATCCTAGTCTTGCTAGATCATGATGAAATCCAGGAGCTTTTACATAACTAATTCTGATGGTCATGGTGAAGTCCTGAAAAATTTGGAGCAAATTTGCTTGGCTTCAAAATGGCTTTTCTTTTGCTTGGGGGAGAGTGCTGCTATTAATTCTGAGTTAATATAATTTCTTTACTTATCCCCATTGCCTTACCATTTATAATTCTTTGTCTTGAGGCTGCATCTGGACTGCTTTACTGCTACGGGGGTGTTCTGTTACTACAGTTACATCCTGAAGATAAAATTAATCAAATTTTATTTCTTTAAAACTTATTTTAATATTACTTATCTGGCAGCTTTAGGGGTCTCCCAAAAACCAGCCATGACCATCGCTTTCCTCACATCATGTCAATCACTGCTAAAGCAAACCAACCAAGTAGAAATCAATAAAGCAAGGAGTAAAAAAATAAACCAGTGTTTTGGACCGAAGCATATGAGCTATTCCTGCTTCTGTCAAGGAGTAATTCCTTAGGACAAAAAGACATCACTGGTGTCTGTTCTAGGTATCTCTCTTTGGCTGAAATACTACTGCTTGGATGTAGATTTTGAGCAACTAAAATGATTTCTACAGTAATTTTGTGTATAGGTTACAGACATTCAAAGAGTCTTGTAGAGGAGATAATCAGATAAAATTAGTAAAGAAAGAAGAGCATGAAAAAATATATCCCACCATTTGTATTGGGACATCTACAGAGATTTTGTTTTTGGAAGCATACCCTGGACTGAAGTTTTTCTTGGACTCATTAAATTGTTCCCATTCCAGCCAAGATGGGGAAACAAGGCTGCATGCCTAGTGTTAGATGCTGGTGTATCTCAGATCTGTTTATTTCTGCATTTTAGTACTCTAAATTTGCCAGAGAAAAGTGAGAAAAAAGTAAGTTAAAACTTGTTGGGGATTTTTTTTTGGTTTGGTTTGGTTTTTGTCGGGCTGGTTGGTTGGTTGGTTGGTTGGTTGCGTTGGTTTGGGGGTTTTATGTTCATTTGTTTGGGTGGATGGGGTTTGCTTTGTTTTGGGGTTTTTTATTGGGTTGTTTTTCCCCAATCATGTCACCTTTCTGCAATTTGCCAAATATGACACAAACTTGTGAAATCCAGCCTGTTTTCTACAAGGGTTTATATGGCTCTAGAGAAGACAGTTATGCACTTTATGTTATTTTTTATTCTGTGTATCATGATAAAACAGAAAATACATGTAGTGGTGAAGGCAGAAAAGTATAATTTAACTAACATCCATCTCTCAACACTTGTGGGACTATTCCAGGTGCTGTTTTGTGGCTATATTTAAATATGTTATTTTCAAATCTCATTTTAGCAATTTCTTAAAGGCCTCAAACTTGCCCGAGTTGTAACACATCCTTAAAGACGGCTAGTTTTGTTATATGCAGAATGCTAGTATCAGCTGTGCTATTGTAGAATTTTTCTTCTGTGAAGACACTTCTGCAAGAGCAGTTTCTAATAACTAACTATTGGCCTCTTCTGGGAAGAAATACCCTGTGACATCAAATAAATCAAAAAGCCTGATACCATGTCAATAATGAAGTAACCAAATGACTCCATGGAGCAAATTATACCAAATTATACAGTGGTTCATCTGAGTTCTGATTTCCTCATTAAATTTGAATGGAGGCAGCAGCTGGAGTTTGAATTTCTTGCCTGTCATCCAGATTCTATAAAGTACAAATCTATTTTCTGCAAATAGTTTCCAAAACTTCCTCCGTCCTGGAAAAAAAAAAGCTTACTGGTTACAGCCAAGAGTGTAGAATGAGGTCTGAGACATGAAATATATCTTATGGAGTGCAACTACCTGATCAGTCTGATCGTTCTAAATGATACTGTGTCCTCTAAGGACCAGATACACCCAAAACCTGGGGGAAAAAAAATAAAGAAATCTTTTTTAAAAAATGCTCGTACTAGGAAGCAAACCTATCCTTGTGGATTTGCTGTAGTGGAGTATCGTGACAGACTGACAGGCCGAGGAATACGACAGCCTTAAGTTGTGCCATGGGAAGTTTAGGTTGACTACCAGGAAGAATTTCTTCACAGAAAGGGTGGTCAGATATTGGAATGGGCTGCCCGGGAAGTGGTGGAGTCACCATTCCTGGAGGTGTTTAAAGGACGGACCGGACGAGGCACTCAGTGCTATGGTCTAGCTGACATGGTGGTGTTTGCTCACAGGCTGGACTCTGTGTGATGGTGACCGCCGCTCGGAGCCGTCCCTGGGACTCCGCCAGCAGCGGGCAGATACACGACACCTCTGTATCCCAAGTCGGGCCGGCACCTCAGCCTGCGGCCGGCAGGTCAGGAGCGAGGGCAGGGCAGGAGCGAGGGGAGGGCAGGAGCGAGGGCAGGGCGGTCGGGCCGCCCATCCCGCGGGATCGGGACGGAGCCGCAGGCGCAGCCGGCTCCCGGCGGGCGCCGCTTCCGCCACGTGTCCCCCNTGGGAACGACCGCCGCGTGTGCATCTGGGCGGCGAAGTGTTCCCTTTTCGTGCTGCGCACCGCTGGAGTGACATCGTATCAATAACAGGTGCTGTCACCTGTTGGAGCAGACAGTGCCGCTCGCTGCAGAATCACGTCTGCTGGAGCTCTGGTAGCACCTCCGGGGCTGAGGTGTGGGGCGGCCGCCGTGCCCAGCACCGAGCTCTCGGCAGAGCTGCAGCGTCTGGGGACGCTTCCACGCCGAGGAACAGCGCGGGCCGAGCTGGAGCAGCCAGGGGTGAGCTGCGGCCTGCGTGGTTTGCACGAGGTCCCCGTGCACAGAACGCACAGCTCTGATGCACGGGCTACATCCTTTGTAAACAGGGAGGTGTGGCACGCTGTGGCTGCAGTGGACACAGTGCCGGCAGTGTGGGAAAGCAGGGGGTGCAGAGGCGACAAGGAAGGCTGTGGAGATGTGAAGGGTCTGGAGAGGAACCCATGAAAGGAGTGGCTGAGGGCACTTGGTCTGTTCAGCCTGGAGGAGACTGAGGACAGACCTCACTGCAGTGACAGCTTCCTCCTGGGGGGAAGAGGAGGAGCAGGCACTGATCTCTTCTCTCTGGTGCCAATGACAGGACCTGAGGGAATGGCCTGAAGTTGTGTCAGGGCAGGCTTAGGTTGGATGTTAGAAAAGGTTCTTCACCCCGAGGGTGGCTGGGCACTGGAACAGGCTCCCCAGGGCAGTGGCCACAGCACCAGCCTGACAGAGTTCGGTAAGCGCTTGGACAATGCTCTGAGGCACATGGGGTGACTCTTGGGGTGTCCTGTGCAGGGCCAGGAGCTGGACTTCGATTACCCTTGTGGGTCTCTTCCAACTCAGGATAGTCTATGATTCTTCATGATTCTGTAACACAGCAGCTTTCGTATAAGCAGGCCATCCACTGCCTGATAGAAAAGCTTTCTGAGGTGTTCTGGCATCCTGCATGTGTCTATTAAGAACTAAAATAATCATGTAATGATTTACTAGTAAGGAAAATAGTAAGTACCAGTGTTCTGTTCCAGAAGAGCTAAACTTGGGATCTGTAGTAGTGCTTAAAGTTTAATTCATGGCACATTTGTATTTCTCAGATAATGTGAAATGCAGCTGTGTTGACAAAATGTCTGAAAGTTAATTGAATTTATTTTGGTGAAGAGTCCATTAGTACGTCTTTTTGCCTTCTGCTGGCAGCTAAGGTGTGACAGCTTAAAATCAAGCCTTATTTAATCTAGCCCCAAACTGCTGCAGATGACAGGCCATGCATTACAAGTCCACAAATTTCTATTGCAAATCAGAAGGGCTTTTCATGTGGAAGGCTCACTTGTTTGTGGGGAGAGCAGAAAGGAGGACAACCAGCTAGAAGCTTGGACCCTCTGCGGGAAGGGAGATAAGTGTCATGGCAGATGAATTTCTCTGGTAGTCTGCTCCCTCTTACACTTGAGGAGAGCCATGTAGCACCCCTGTAGGTTAAGTGAGAGCCAAGATTGTTGGTATGTCTCGTTCTGTTACTGGCCTTGTGTCCACCACATCACCAGCATTGTTTTTATTTCTGTGGTGCGTTCTCCTTTATAGATCTGTAAACAATATTTTCCTGTTAAATAAACCCATTGCCTTTGGGTGGGAAGTGTGCTTTGATTAAGACAAATATTTGTGTTTTCAGACTGTCTTGTCATCTAAGTAAAAGTTAAAACATATTCTTTAAATGATACTTGAGTGTCCTTTCCAGTCAACCTGAGTTCTGGATTATGTCTAAATGAAGCTCGATTCTAAGTCATTTGTCATTTTCTGATATAATTACCATGTGAAATGCTTACCAAAGTATTGTTGAGTTTAAAGTTCATGATAATTCTGGTTAACAAAACGTTCACCTGAGTCTTTGATATAAGGGTGAAAATAGTTCATAAATGAAGATTTTCTTTTTGCTAATTTAAATTATAGTTTAAGTAAAGTTTTAAATTAAACTACTGATTTTTTTTTTTAAGGGGACAATACACCTGTTCCGCAAATCACAGAGATCATTGGTTGGAAAGTTAACACATGAATTTAGGTTGGTTGCAGCAGACAGAAGAGTAAGTATTGCTTAAAAAAATCATAATTATGATAAAAATTACATTATCTGTAGTAAGTTAAATTGCACTATTAACTTAAGTATATTATGAAATTTTTTCTTTGAATTTTTCTAACTGTGCTTAAAAAAATTAAAATATATATTTTAAGCTGTATTGCTTCTGTGCATTATCCCTGTGAATTAGTGTTTTGTAGAATTATAGTTATATCTAATTGGTTCAGTAGAACTGTAAACTGAATGTGTTCAGATGTTTTTGGGACCAAAGTTTCAGCACAAGAAGCAAACCCACTAATATAAAGTCGCACAAGTTTGTATTCAAAAGTCAGATGCTGTGTAGTGTAATAAAATGCAAACATTATATATGGATGGGGTTTTTTTAGACCAAAAAGGTATTTAAGCATGGTGGCATTCATAAATGAGTTTTAAAATAATTTGTAAAGTTTAAAATAGAGTAAGGGCTGGCTGTTCTGAAATGAGTGGTGAATTTTTGAGAGGGAGGAGAAGCTGGTTCTGTTTGCATGACCAAGTACTGCAATATTGTTTTTTAATACTGGAGAGATATATTTCTGTCTCATAAATTTTGGAAGGTATAAAACATATATTTATTCTCATCAACAGTCCTGGAAGATTTTACTGTTTGGTGCTATAAATTTAATATGTATTGGCTTCCTGCTCATGTGGTGCAGCTCTACAAACAGCATAGGTAGGTGGCTCTTGTGTACTGAAACTACGACAAACTGACATGTGTTTTTTCAGCATGTGAAGTTCCAGCTGACTGAAAAAGCCAAATACAGTGCTTGATGGAGTTAGGGGTTTGCACAGCCAGGTTCAGAAAGTGCTTCCTTTTGATCTGCCACAGTCAGCTTAGAAGTGTTTTTCACAGAGAAGTTTGGGTGGGTGAAATTCCTTCAGAGTTTGCACAGTTTTTCAGTCCTGCTGGTCATTTGCTTCCTGCTGTAGCTTCTTCATCTTTAAGACTGAAAACCAGTAGACTTTAGAGTTACTAGTCCTCAAACGTGTTCCTTGTATGAGTAGTACCAGTGACATGTAGAGACTCTCAGTTGCAGATGAATGAGGATGTTTGTAGTGTGGAAAAGGCTAAAGACTTCTTTGCTTCCAGGGAATGCTCAGCAGTAGCCAAAACACTTGTGGAAACACCTGGTGTTTCCACCACCTGGGTGGCTGCCACTGCAAAGCACAGCACTGTGAGGGCTGCTGTGGGGAAATGAACTCCAGAGTTTCCTTGCAGTTTCAGGATAGGTTACAGATGCAAAACAAGTAAAACATTCAGTTCATCCTACTTTTTACTGAATTAAAGCACATAAGAGGTCTCGTACTTTGGTAAGTGATGTGTTTCTGGAAGGTCTCCTGACTTTCCAGTACTTAAATTCCTAGTCACAACTTAGTCACAAATGTGATACCTTTTGTATCTGGGCTTTATTAAGTGCTTTAGTTCAACTAGGATTGCCATAACCAATGACATGAAATATATTGGTGTCTTTAGAACAACAGAGACTTATTCTATCAGCAGAGGCAGTTTATGTAGGTAGAAGATTGAAAAGAGCTGCACAAAAGGGGCTTAGAATACAAGTGATTTTTGCACTGAAAAATTAAGTATTAAGTTTTAATTTTTACTTTTCTTTACAGCTTTAACTGCTTACACATATTTGACAATCTTTGACCTTTTCAGGTGAGTTTTTTTCTCATTTTGTCTTACTTTTCATTTTCTGTGTATATTTCTATACACTTAAAGTTTATTTACAGGTTCAACTTAGTCATCAGTACAGAAACAGTAACTGGTTTAAATATAGCTTAAATGAGTATAAAATTGCACACAGTAAACAGATTGTAAAACCCACCATAGCTATATTGAGAATGACCAGTAACTGATCACTTTAGTCATGGATTTCTGTGTGCAGATGGATGACAGCATAAAGCTATAGCACAAAACTGTTGTCAGGTTGTTCTCTCAAAACATTTTCCTACTGCCATAGTCACTGAATGTGAAGTAACCCTCAGTTTTAACATCAGGAAACAAGAAACGTAATTCTGTTTCAAAAATTTCGCAAGCTGGATACCAAGCACTTTGCACATACGGTCATTAGATATTTTCAATATTTTTCATGTTTTCTAACAAAATTGTATTAAAACAGCACTTAGTATGAGCACTTCTAGTAATATTGATAATACAGACATGAAATATATTTAATTCTTGTCTAAGATACAGAATGGTAGCAGTGGTTGGGAAATTAAATATAGATATATTTAAAATATTAGCCTACAATATCTTCCTTGCCATCTCACTTTCTTATAAAAGGTATGGATCAGCTTTCTGAGTCATACATATGTCCACTACATACTATATGTTATCTGACTTACAGTAAAACATTCATAAATAAAATCAGCAAACATGCACAAACAAAAATGACTTGTTGGGATAGGCACAAAAAAATTGATTGGTGACTGCATTAGAATTAGGATTTAACTTTAATGGCTTGTATTCTCTTAGAATTTTGTATATCCTGAATTTTTGTCATCTTGACTCAAAATACCTTTTTCACCTTGGGGAAATTGGGGGAAGTGTTGACGTTGTACTTCCTGTTTGGGTGGAAATTTGTTTTTCTTTTAATTTTAGAAAAAGGTAGAACACCCCTGGCACTCTCATTTTAGGTTAATTAGGGGTTGGACTAGAAGATTATTCTAACTCACAGCATTACAGTGGTAATTCTGCTGCAAAAATCAATTTCTGCTTCTTTTCTTTCTGTCCTTTACCTGGTTGTATATGATAGTCTTACTGATAATGTGAATTTACAGCTTCGTATATGAACAGTATTACTTCCTGTGCTTTCACTTTTTTTCTACACAGCTGAGAATCAAGTTGTGAGGATGCCATTGTTCATCAGTTGTAGGGACGAGTTCTTGATCCAGTCTGATATAACGTTGTTATTAATTACAAAAGGACTGCATGAAAGCACAGATGGCACTGAATCCATGTGGATTCCAATTGAAAAAATTGTTCAATAGAGGAAAAATTGTTCAATAGAGAAAAAAATGTTCAATAGAGGAAAAATAGGCAAAGGAAACTATATTCATCCTTGAAACATTGTGACTACAACCATGGAGATTCCAAAATAATTGGAATGCTAGATGCTTAATAAGTGAGAAAAATTTGGACAGAAGGTAGCAAGAGACACCTGTGGCTGTGAGTGAACAGCCAGTTAGATTAGAGCTTGTGTAGGTAGGTGAATGCAGCCAAAGAAAGTTAATCTGCTTTGGCCATATAGAGAAATTATACTGTGAAAAAGAAAGGCAGTACTTGGTGCGGCCTGAGACTTATTCTAGAGTACTAAATCTAATTTATGGTATATCTCTAAAAGAAAACTTTAATGGAGAGATTTCTTTGCTTTTTCTTTCACTTTTCTGTCTTGCTTATCAGTGTTCTTCTCATTTAAACAGCCTTTCTCAGTTTACAGCATTTCTAGGCAAGTTCAGAAGGCTCATGAGGAGCATTTAGAACATCATTGTGACAGTGATGGAGGTTGAGTTCAGGGCAAGATGTGGCTGTATTAGTTTGTTGAGTTCTGGTGGCTCAAGTGTGTATCTGTAGATTATGCACTTTGTGAAGGCTGCTGTTATTTATCACATCTAATTCTCCCCCTTTTTTTTCAGTTTGGTAACATGTCTAATAAGCTACTGGGTAATGATGAAGAAACCCAGCCCAGTCTATTCATTTGGGTAAGTACAATAACAAGGTGTAGTGTTTGATAATACAGCATTTCATACATTGCTCACTGTCATTGCCTGGATCCCTGAACAGCCATCAGTAATACTCTGTATGTGAAAGAGCCTAAAAATGAGGAGGGCCAAGACTTCTTGTGAAGACCAATTACAGAGTAGGGGATGGACAGGAAGAAGAATTAAGAAATGCTTAATTTTAAGGTGATGAGTGGAGTGTTAAAAGAATCTGAAAATAATGCCTATTCCATAAAACTTCCAGTTTCTTCCCATCTGTCTGCTGTTGAATGAATGGGAAAGAGTAGGTGGATCCTGCTGGTTCTTGCACAGTAAAGATTCTGTTGGATGCATTGTTCAATGTTCAGTGTTTCTAAACTTAATTCTCAAATTTCAGGTTTGAAAGGTTTGAAGTTCTAGCTGTATTTGCATCTACAGTTCTGGCACAGCTTGGTGCTCTTTTTATACTGAAAGAAAGGTAGGGTTATGTACTGTTTTCTTTAATTTTTTAACATTTGAAGATACAGTTCAGATCAACCAAAAGCACATGCATTCTACAAGAGAGATACTTTAGAAAAAAATTAAAGATTAAAAAAATATTTTTCTAAATCTTACTGCTTGCTTACATTTATTACACTACGTGTAGGCTTTAGACGTAAATATGGGAATTGATAAATGTACTTAAAAAGCTCTCTAGGGAAAGATTTAATGGTTTTAAGAATACTTTTTCCAAGAGGAAAAATTTATTTAATGCATTTTCTTATGCATCTTGACTTTTTTGTTTATTAACAAATAAAACTTTTGTTTTTACTTCTGTTACTTTTTGAAGTCAAAGCAGCTTCATAATATATTAAGGATTTGAATGTTTAAAGTATCAACTTCTTAACTCCCTTGAAGTTTGCTCAGTTATTAATTTTCCATACAAGCTATGCTTGGAAGTATTTGTATTTCAGGAGGTTAGCCTAAAACATTATTTTAGTCTTTAAAGATGAAGAGGCTTTTGTTGACATTTGGAATTTAAAATTGAAGCAGTGTACCTTCCCTTTTTCTGTTCAAGTGCTCTCTTTTCTATGTAAAGGGCTGTATTAACAACTTAGCAACTTTATACTATAAGGTCATTATTGTATTGAACTGAAATTCCACTGGAATGAATCACCCTCTGTCAAAACCTCCAAGTTTTCCAACATCAATTTTAGGAAATGCCACAAATGTAGGTTTTTCTGTTACAGCTGAAGCTCATTTGTTAACTCACTGGCGGGTGAAAAAAGATCTCTATCTCCACCACAGTATCCAATGTCTACTTTATTTGACCTTGCTTAGGGTGAGGCTGTAAGTCAGAGATTTCAGACTTAGTTTGTTGTGGTCACCAACACTGGTGGTGGTGCCAGTAGCAGTATCTTTTTGCATGTTCATTTACAAACATATTTTTATCATGTAGGCAGTATTCATGGTAGCTAGCACATATGTGGCACAGTTTGGAGGTATTTGGGAAATCTAAATCACATCTGCTTTGATTCAGTGTTAAATACTTTCATTGCTTATAAAAGTTGCTATGTTTATTTAAGCAATCCATTTTTTTGCAGTACTGTATCAGTTTTTGTTTATGAATGGCAGTTAATGCTACTGTAAAAACATACTTCAGGTATCAAAGCCTTACGGTATGAATATAACTAAAATTTTCAATTATTGTTGTAGTGCGGAGCGTTTTCTGGAACAGCCTGAGATACACACGTAAGAAATTATTTTGACATGTAAAATGTGTTACTGTCCTTTTGTTTCTAATTCTTATCTAGCATATATTATTTATGCATGTACTTTCAGTAACAAATTGCTTTTGGTGCCTTGGCATTTGTTTCAAACTAGATACAAGCTATGCTGAAAACCATTCTTTTCAAGGAACAAGTGAAATTTAATGCTCATGTTCTCTCAAATAGTGATATATATTCCTGCTTTTCCTAGTTCAGTTCCTTTTGTTTCTTGTGGCCTCTTGGAAGGCCTAGTATGTGGGGGGGAAGGATGCTGTGGTCAACTGGGAGCTGAAGGTTTTGCAAAGAGGGTTCAGACAATAAAGAACATGGGGAAAGGAAAAGAAGGTGTTATGGGGCAAAGGAATGGGACATGGGACATATGTTGAAGTAGTTCTGGAAGAAGGTGGGGGTATATGGCATAATTCCATAGAGAGCTAAGCTTCTTAGCTGTGCTGCTGAGGGGACAATATATCTTCAAAGGGCAAATACATGTGTGTGTGCATATATGCAATTAGTCAAGAGCTGTTACTCAACATTATAAGCATTATGTGATAACAGTAATGTACGAAGTTCTGTGATCTCATACAACCCTTACAAGGGTAATACACTGCTGGTTATTAACTGTTACACTAGTTTGTTCTACTTGTTTTCAGCCTCAGTGGATGAAACCAAGCAAAGTATTTTGATAGTGTTATTGGTAGTTACAGCTTGATTACATGTTCTGTGATGATGGGAAATTAAGGCACCTTTTTTCCCCTCCCTAGGGGACGACTGCTGGTTGGTACTTTCGTGGCTCTCTTTTTCAACTTATTTACAATGCTTTCCATTAAGAATAAGCCTTTTGCTTATGTCTCTGAAGGTATGTAATAAATTAGACAGTAACAAGAATTGAGAAAAAAATGTTAATATTCCTAATTTTATCGAGGTATAACTTGTCTGGTAACTAAACTAGTGGGTGTATATTACTGTTTCCTCTGTTAATGTAACTTTGTGCAGTAGAATTGCCATCTGATTTTCAAGTCCAGTTTGCTTATAAGGCTCTGAGTAGTAGGAAGTCATTAAAATGATAAATCAAGTGTTATTTTAATGCTGCAGTGTCCTTTATTTTCACTCTTTTGAATTCAACCAGTGAAGATCATGTGACAGATACTGGAACTTTCAACACATTTTGTGGATGTATTAATGAGTTAAAAATAAGTTAATACAATAGTTCTTTTTAAAAGCTCTTTCACCTTTTTCATTGTGAAGTAGGTTTGCAGTCATTTCTGCAATTTTAAATTGTCCTGTTGTAATTGTCCTGTAAATTGTCCATAGTTATAAATACCTATTATACACTATATTATACAAAAGATAATGGTTGTAACCTGCAATTACATTTGTATTTAATCAGTTCAGATTATTATGAGAGATGGACAGTGTAGTTGCTTACAGGAAAAGACAGACTTGGGGCTTTTTTCAAGTGCCAGGGTGTCTGTTGAGATACATTTACTCATTCACAGTGTATTTATTGGTTTCTTCCCTTAAAATAAAACTTGGGTGTACTTCCAAATGTAGTAACTTTAAAATGGTACTTAAAATAGTGGTAACTTTATTACCTTCTTTCTTTTGCAGCTGCCAGCACAAGTTGGCTTCAGGAACATGTTGCAGATCTTAGTAGAAGGTAAAGCTTTATATTGTTTCTCAAAATCATTACCTTCTGGAAGGCAGTGTTGGTTTTGTGTGTATAAAAACAATTAGTGGGGGTATTGAGGCATTAACTTGCATTAGAGCTTTTAAAATAGCTTTACCTACTGTAGGTCTCATGTATGAACTCTGGAGCAAACATTGTCTCCTATATTTCCCAGATACATCAGTCTAACAGAAATACATCTTTCTGAGTATCTTTTCTTTTGAATACATGTGTTCAGTACATTGTGTGTAATTCTCTTTGGATGAGAATAGGAAAACTAGCATTATCCTGTACATACCTGAACTGCATTTCACAACATGCATCACTGAGTGATATATTTTATAATAATTTATGTTTATTTACTTTGTTTTTTGTAAAATGTAAAATCATTTTACAATGATTCAGATGACTGAGTTTAAATGTGATGTATGCAACAGGTTACTCACTGAACCATAGCTATGGGAACTCCTCACCTGTCCAGGAGGAAACTGGGGAGTCTGTGTCTTCCAGGGATATAAGCAGTGTTGCTCATTCATCTTGTCTGTTAACTGTCTTGCTTGTATTGGATATCTGAATGCAAGATAACAATGTTTGCAAATAGTTTTGTCAGATGTCAGGAAAGTTTCTTTTAATCCATGCATGTTCTTCCAACTGTCTGTCAGTACCAAAGGAAAAATGTTAAACCGAGTTGTAAAACATGTTAAGTATGCTTCAAAACCCATCTGTTTCTGCATCTTGTGATCTTTTTTACAGTTAAGGAAAGCAGAGAATGCTGACTTGATAACAGAAGAATTGATTTTTTATGGGTATAAGATGTTACATCATCAGAACCAAAACATTTTTGTTTATTTATTCTGAAATATTCTTGGAAGACTGATAATTAGGTTGCCCAAGTTTTATTGTTAAAAAAAAAGAAAGAAGGTGGATACCAATCACAGACAGTAGCACAGCTTTCCTCTTGTCAGTGTAGTTTTAAGGGAAGGACACTGATGGATAATTTAAAGGGGTCCCAGATCAAGGGGAATATAATTTCTATTGGGTTTTGAGATAACATGTATACAGTTAAGCCAATATGAAAAAAAATAAAAATTGAATTAGAATGTGTACAGCTATTTCAGATGTTATGTGAAGCAGTGCTGATTAAAAAATATCTGCACCTGTATATAATTATGTTGATTAAAATTCTTACAGAAGCAGGCCAGCACATGATATCTAAACATAACTTGGCTTTAAACATAGCAACGAATCATTTCATGTTGAATTTGCCTTGAAATTCTCCAGGACATGACATGCACTCATATTCACTGGAATGTACAGAAACTCCTTTCTCTCCTCATACTCCCATTGACAGGAAATAGCTATAAATAAATAATTTTTCCAGCATTCCCTCATGCATTTTTTGGTCTCCTCTTATTGAACTAGCTGGTTTTCTTCCTCTTTTCAGACTCCATGAATTAGTTATCTTTGGCTTTAGGACACTTTTGCACACCAAGGTGGCAGATGGCTTGAAGACTGGTGATACTCAAATCTCTCGCTACGTACATCTGTGTAATACCCATATTGAACCCATGAAGTACTTGTGTTGCATACAGCTGACACAGCTATATCTTATTCCCAGAAAGAAACACTTGATTAATTTTTGCTGACAGCAGCCTTTGAGCAGAATTAGTGGGGCTAATCATATGCTATGACAGCAAAGTGTGTTGGAAGTCAAATGCTAAATAATGTGTGTAATTTTGGAATTTCAAAGTAGTGGTGAAGAGCTGGCTGACAACTGCTTTTTCTGTTTTGTTGCAGTATTTGTGGAATCATCCCAGGACTGAGTAGCATTTTTCTGCCACGGATGAACCCTTTTGTCTTGATTGATATTGCTGGAGCTCTGGCTCTTTGCATTACATATATGCTCATTGAAATCAAGTATGTGCAGTTGTTGTTTTAAAACAGTAGTTCTTTTTGTATCCAGTCTGTGGGAAAATACATTTTTTGCATGAAAGGAATGATCTGATCTAGAGCTGCATTTTGTATGAATGGCATTGCAACTCTATGAATGCATCTGTCTGTTGTCCAAGATGAATGAGAGTTTAAATGAGATTGGTATGTGTAAAATTCTTTAAGTGTATATAATTTAAAAGAAAGAAAAAAGAATCATAAGTAAGTTGTTCTGCCTTTCAAAAATGTAAATACCAATGTTTCTTTAAAATTGCTTTCTCCCTAGCAATTATTTTGCTGTGGACACAGCCTCTGCTATAGCAATTGCTTTGATGACATTTGGTACCATGTATCCCATGAGTGTCTACAGTGGGAAAGTATTACTTCAGGTAAGACAGCCTCCTCTCAAATCAACAGATTTTGTGGTTTTGTTAAATGGCCTCATTTAAAAATAAAAAAGCAAACCTTGAAATCTGATTTAAGCTAGCAAATAGGAAGTCTCCCATGGGAGTTTGTGATGTGCTACAAGAATGTTAGTTGTGCAGATATGCATCACAAAGTCATAAGAATTCATGAAAATGCCGTTGGTCTCTTGTGTGGGTAGACCAGACTTAAAGGCTCTTTTACTTGAACAGGGCCAGTTAATCTTTATTATAACTTGTATTTTCTTTTCTTCTTTTTGAAGACAACGCCACCTCATGTGATTGGCCAGTTAGATAAACTTCTCAGAGAGGTAAGTCAGTGTATAATATATATCACAGTGTGTACAGCTAATAAGCATTCAGGAATGTGAAGAATTTTTCTGACTAGTCCAAGAAGTTAGCTAAAATAATTTTTTAAATTTTTTTTTTAGCTGCATGTAGAAAATATGAATCCTGCTTTCCAAGTTGAATAGTATCTTTTATGTATCTGGAACAAATCTGATACTACCTAAATAGTGCAGGCTGTTTTTATTTAAATTTGAGTTGCTATTGAAGTGGTTTACAAATGTGAGTTGAAGGAGGAAAAGGAGTACAGGCAGCTGTTGAATTACAGCATATCAAGTTGAGAACATACTACAATTTGGCAGCAAGAGTTACTTGAAATACATTCCTTAAAACTTTTTTGATGGATTTGGATGTTTAAGGATAGCAAAAGTACGTTAGATAAGCATTAGTGACATTAACAGACATCATCTGTTCGGTGTGTGAAGCTTTTATTTCAGTACTGAAAACTATTTGTTAATAATTTATGTATAAAAGTACATTTCTAAAGGGATTTGAAAATTCTAATTTATTTTCGTATTTGTGGATGTTTGTGTAAAATTAGGTTTCAACTTTGGATGGTGTGCTGGAAGTTCGAAATGAGCATTTCTGGACATTAGGTTTTGGTACTTTGGTAAGTTATGTCTTCATTATCTTTCTAGCCTTTGAAAAAAAAGTTGTCAGGTACTACTTTAATTTTTTAATTTACATAAAGTAAGATATTTCTTCTGAAATATTAACTAAAAAATTTGATGGAATCAGTAGTCAATTCTTTCGCTTTATTGCAAAACTTCTCTTCCCAAGTCCTTTACATTTTTTTAAAGCTTTGTTGTTGATTAATGTTATAAATGTATACTGCAGTTCTGGCTTAAAGCGTGCATTTTTGCAACTGTAGAATTTCTTTCATATTTTGGATTGAAGAAAATGACAAACTATAGAAAAAACATTTTTCAAAATGATGTGTTTGTGTAAATTGTGTAGGAAGAGAGAAAGAACTGTAACCCTTCCAGCACCAAAGGTCTACAGTAGACAGTAGAATTATGTTTTCAGCATTTCTAGGGGAGAAGGTAGAAATAACTGTGTGTGCATATGTGTAAAATACAGTTGTGTACCAGTCATTCTGTAAGCTGAAAGAGATGAAGGGGTATTTCTTGTGATACAGAATGATCACACAGAACTTGGTTATTCCGAAGCTGAGGCAGGTGTTTTTGTGACAGCTGGAAAATTAAGAGTCTTAGATACTTCTTCACTGATTTCTTCCAGTATGCTACCCTACTTAAAACAACAATAAAAGGCAGCAGTTCTCTCTTTCTGAGGTAAAAATAGCTTTCAGTTTACTGTTCTGCCACTTAGGCCTAAATTTCCACTTTGTTCTTTTGAGCCATTTTTCTCCCCAGTTGTTGCCTTTCCTGCCAACATATGTTGTATTGTATAGTTTGGTTCTAAGACTCACTCCTGCTGAATGATGATATGTTCATAAGAGAGCAACATACTTGGAAAGATCAGCATGTATCCTGTAATAAGTTTATTAGTTATAGTTAGTATAATAGTTATATATTATAGTATAATAGTTAGTAGTTTCCACTGCAAAAGGTCTTTGTGTAATTCTCTGCAGGATAATTTACCTCTTCTTGAGTGCATGTGGGGAATCTTTGTTGGTGTAACAACTAACAGCCAACTTGTTTTTATCACTTTCTAGGCTGGATCAGTCCATGTCCGAATTCGGAGAGACGCAAATGAGCAAATGGTACTTGCCCACGTCACTAACAGATTATACACGTTGGTCTCTACCTTGACTGTTCAGATTTTCAAAGATGACTGGATCAGACCTACCTTATCATCTGTGCCTATTGCAAACAATATTCTGAACCTTTCGGATCATCACATTATTCCAATGCCATCTTTGAAAGCTGCTGACAATTTGAACCCTGTTACCTCCACTCCAGCTAAGCCCAGCAGCCCGCCACCAGAATTTTCTTTTAACACACCAGGCAAAAATGTGAGTCCAGTCATCCTGTTAAACACTCAGACAAAGCCCTATGGATTGGGCTTTAATCATGGATCTGCACCCTACAGCAGTGTACTCAATCAAGGACTTGGAATACCAGGAATGGGAGCAGCTCAAGGATTCAGAACTGGTTTTGCAAATGCCCCAAGCAGATATGGAACAAACGCTCGTGGTCAGCCCCGACCGTAATAAACACCATTATTTATTATACTTAAGGGTATTGACTTAATTCTTTTATTACCCAATTTTTATAAACATTTGGAATGTCAAATCATTCTAAGTGGCTGGGAACAAGTGCATTGTTCATATTCATGAAGTGGTTAAATAGCAGTTTTTTCCTTCACATCAGCAGTAGCCTGTGTAATGCCACAGATATTTTGCAGACTTACAATACTTTACAAGTAGTTTTATAGGGTGTCTATTTCTACTCATCTTTTTTATCCACTTTTCTTCATTTATCCAAGAATGTATTGAGATGCAGCACAACTCCATAAGAGAATAAAATTGTGAGCAGGTAGCTTTTTTTTTTTTTTTTTTCCTAATGAGAATTACTGGATGCTGAATAGCTGACAGAATAGGAAATGGCAGAAATACAAGTCCCAGTTTTCAGATGTGTTTGATTGCTGTATTAAGCCATGTTTGGGCCAAATCACAATTAGTTTTTGGTTGCAAAAACCCATCAGTATTCATGTTGTGGCCATTGTGAAGACAATCTGGCATTTCAGATTGTAATTTGGTTTGTGAGACCATGTTTTTACATTTTTATTGATGCTTTTATAGAAATTCAGATGGTTCAGCAACCATTTTCTAGTTGTAAGTATTCCATACTCATCTCTGATATTTCTTACTTTTTGGTTTAACTGCAAAATTATTTAGCAATATACTGGGAAATAAAATACTTAAAACTTAAGATTTTACAAGCACCTCTTTTTTACAATTAACCCTATTTAGCATACAGAACAAATGACTGTTGTTTCTGAAGCCGGTATTTAATTTTTGACTATAGAGAGTATTCTATTATATGATTGTGACTTTGTATTTTCCTCTTTGTGTATTTTTTTTTGTAGTTCCAGGGAGAAAAATAATTTATTTATATTCCTGGTTTATATCCAGAGTACAGGTCAGTGATTGCTGAGAGTTTGTAGTCACTGCTGGAGTGCTTAACCTTTGGGACACACTTGGATCGAGCCCACTTAACTTGTCTCTGCTTTTGCAGTACTGTCCTACTGTACACTGAGGTGTCTGCATTTCTCCAGGGCCTTTCTCAGAGAGCTCTTCCCTCTCACTGCTGTCTTTCCCTTCTTTGCTCTGACAATAGGGAAAGGCCTTCTAGAAATAGTTCCATTTTTTTTTCTGTTCCCCATTGCAGTATCTGTGTTAAAATTGCTCCTCTGCACATTCTTCTGCATCTCTTGGCCATCTAGGAATGGGTTGCCCATTCTTGTTGTTCTACTTGCAACTCAGGGTGCTATTTACTGGCTTCCATCTTGTTCATCTGTGTGCTAAGTCAGTCTCTCCACTTCTGTGAGGTGGTTACATGGAGCTGTAGTATCTCAGGGATTCCAAAGATACTATGTTACCTGAAGATAATGGCTTTGATGAAGGAATCTTTCTCATGTAGATCTTAGTGGAGAAAACAGCCTTCATTTGAATTCTAAAGATTCGTGGCCACTTCACTGGCTGAGGATTTCTTTTTCTGTGTAACACTGCATTCCTCTTTTTTTATTTTTTTTTTTTTCCCCTCCCCTCCATGACCTGTTTCTTGAGCCAGTGCTTGGAGGAGGTAGTCATTCTTGCAAAAGCAAGGTGACATTCTGCATGATGGAGATATATCTTTTGGGGATGCTTTTGGCTGAGGGTAGTGTCCAGACTGCCACTGGGGCGCTGTCCACATAAGCTACAAGTAGGGAATCCAGTTCTGTACTTCATTTGCAGCAGGAGTGAAAATTTCATTGCTCTGTTAGAAAATGTAATGACCTGGCAAACTTTCATTTAAAGATTACAATGAAGTTACAACGATTGGCTCTGTTTCTAATAGGTCAGTATTAACTTAGTAATTACCGCTGGTCCATTATCCTGTCTTTCTGTGAGTCTATTACATGTGCTATTGCTGCATGGAATTTAATGAAGTACAGAACACTTGAACCTCTTTGTACCTCTTGGGTGCTGAACTGGATTGCACTTTCTACAGCATCTGCAACACCTTAGAGCCAGCAAAATGTTTACACTACTGTTGTGTGGCCTGGTTAAGAATTGTTCCTTACTCCAGTTTCATAATCAAACACATGCTCTTTTTCTGATACTTTCAATACATTGTATTATATTGAATGCATGCTTACTTGTTTTCAGTAGAAAATTAAATCTCCATTTTATTAAAAAAATGAAGCTGATCTCTGATTTAAAATGAGACGGGAGGGTGAAAATCCCGGAATTCTGAGTGCAATATAATCACTTTAACAAAAATACTTTCTTGAGTGATTGTTTACAATATATATCATATATACAGATGATAAAGATTCTTTTAGAAATTAGAACAGCTTTTTAGCTGCTTTATTGTTACGAATCTATTAAGAATATTTGTTAAATCAGCACAGAGTAAAATGTCTCCTTTTATATGAGGAAAATAAAATCAGTGTAATTCGTAAATGTCAAGGAAAAAGTGGTAATTTGTGTATGAGATTTTATAGTTGCCTTTCTATATATGTTGTTTAAGTGATGCTCTCGGGTGATACATCAGTCTCAGTGAGCAGGTATGTCAAACTTCAGAACTGTTTTTCTGGGTCCACTACCAGTGTAGATTGGGTCCTTGTAATAATTCTATAGAAAGTGGTTTTTATACATTTTGCCTTTTCTAACTGTATTCTGCTGTTAGGTGGTCACAATCTAAATACTTACTTGATACGAAGGGAATAAGAATTGATAATTTATGTCATCTTTATTCCTAATGCTAGGACTGCTGTCCCAGCTAGAGAGAAAAGAGTACTTGCTGTCATTTCTGTCTGCCAGAGGATTTGGCATTGTTAACCCCTTAAGTAGTTCCAGCAGTGATCGCACAGGATCACATCACTTGTAGGTAAATGTATCCAGCTTTAGAGAGTTTGAGGGGCAGGTACCATTATTTGGCTTCAGATTCTTGTGAGAAACTGTCTTGTCCTGATAGAGAAGGAGCCAGAGCACCTATTACAAGACAAATAACTACCAAAATAAGAGGGTTTTTTTCAGTTTTACATGTTGAGTGATGGTTTTTGAGTTCATTCTGTTCCGCATTCCCTTAACCCACAGACATCTTTGGCACACAAAGCCAGTGACGGCCTTTTGTGGCTGGTAAACTGATTTTTATTCCCTTCCCCTTGACTGATACATGACAAATCCTTTTCAAGGAGAGAATCTCAGCAGCAATTCTGCTGATTAGATTAACTGAAGTCCTCTATTGATTTCTAATCCTTGATGCCACCATCCAACAGGGAAGGAGAAACTGTCCGGCCATAGGTTCTTCAACACAAAGCCTCTCTCTGAATTCTGAAGTGATTATCTGTCCTGTGCTTGTCTAGCTCCAATAGATCTGGATATTTAGTCATATTCAGTGTTGAAATGGAGAGTAGAAGAGATACCAGTCCTGGTCTCTTTACTTCTATTTTTTGTTTTCTGGGTGTTTTATGAAATAGGTTTGACTTTGTCCTACCTGCCTGTTCTCCCCTGCCTTAGCAATGAGAGCCCACCTTGTAACATTCTGCCTTACTGACTACTTCTTGTGCTTTTGGGAGCTTAGATTCTTGGATTCACGTGGTTATTGGGTTGATGTAAGTTTTCCTTCCAGCAATTATTTTTTAAATGAATGAGGGATCACACAAATTGCTAAGATGATGACCCTCCCCTTTTTAAGTAAACTTTTCCAGGGCTAGCATCCAGTTAGGAGATGGCTCTTTTTTCCTGTATCAAAAAACCAACCCCAAACACAAAACCCAGTGGGGGAAGAAGACAAATACAGGATTTTTCGTGATTTCTTCACATTTTGAGAAATACTGAATCATATTACAGCAGTCTGTATCTCATTTCCATGGACTCTAACGTAGAATGGAAACATAACTTGAGAGCTGCATGCTCAGGCAGTAAAAATTTACTGACAAAATTGACATGATTTGGTGTACATGGTTAAATTACGGTTTCAGATAAATCTTACTAGAGCTTTTAAAAAAACAGGCTTTTCCCGGTTATAACAACCCTCTGATCCAACATTTCAGAATGTTTGAAGTTAACTCAAAAATTCTCAAAGAAGCAGAGTAGAAGTCCACACTGCAAATGTGTACTGCATTTTTCAGAGGTCTTGCAAAATATGAAAGTACCACAAGACTTTAAAACAAATCAGCCACACAGATTCATGTTTAATATTTCTATATTTAGCCATTCTGTTACCTTTCCTTGCCATTTAGGAGGGTGTGGAAGGTGCTTTACACTGCTCAAAGTATTGAAACTTCAGAAGATGTAATGTAGTTTTTTAGACTATTTTCTCATCGGTTGAAGTAGAGGAGAATATGATTGCAATGTGTTCAAGAAGCTCTGATATATTCACATAGATGTACAGTAATACCTGAAAATAAAGACATCTAATTTTTTTGAATTTTCCTAGTACTCTATTTCAGAAGTTGCAGGTAAGACAAATGTTCCTCACCAATGTTAAAGTGATAGGAAAACACAAAATGCTTTTATTTTGTCTTAGGTTACCAAAATCAGATTAAATTTATTTTTCAGGCTATCCTGTAATAGTAAAATTTTACAAATTTTCATTGCTGTAAATACCTATTTCTGTAACAACTTTATAATATGGATGTAAATATTGTCTTAGGCTCCAAAATATTTGTTTTAGGAAAAAATACAGAGGCCAAATCTGATAGGCCTACAACTCCATTGCTTACCTTCTTTTTAAATCTCTTTGCTCGGGGTAGAACTTGTAGGGAAGAAGTTTATAGCAGTAAATACTGATTTTTTTTCTCTCAGTTCATCTTCTATCAATATTCTATCAGCTTGATATTTTTATTTTTTTCTTAAAATGCTCTTATCCTTTTTTCACCAGTAGAAACCATAATGCTGTCAGTAGTTTCTGAATGTTGTTCTGGCTTTCATTGATCTCATTCCAGGCTTTCTTTTTTCCAGTGTTACACTAAATCTATTAAGTAATTCCAGTAAGGAATGTAAAAACACAGAGTTGTTAAACTGGTATCTTCTTGGTGTCTAAACTGTTGTCTTGCTTTTAATAACATTTTCTTTTTTATAGCACTTTGCCTTAAAAATTGTATTTAGATAAACTATAGTTTCTAAAGTGATTATTTTCCTTGTATGATTATTTTTGTTGTAGTCTGTGTTAAAAACAGCAGGTGGGTGGTGTTTTGGAGGTTTTTTGGGTCAAATTGCGAATGATTCTCACGTGACTGAATGGTGTGTACTGGGCCATTGCTCCCACACACCACTTGATCTTTTGTTTGTATCTCCTGTGTTGCAGTCAGAGCACAGGGAAACTACCACATACCTTCCTGTTGGCATCACCCCCCACCACCCTTCTCCATCAAAAAGTACCCAACAAATGACAGGGGTAAAACTGAATTTGGGTTATTGCTCTGTTTTCTGGTGGTCAGCTGTCCGCAGAGAAAAACCCTTGCAGCTGCCTTTGTAGGAGGAGGAGGAGAGGGACCAGAGAGGTTTAAAAATCACATCTGTGTGTCAGGAGTTCTAGCAACTCATGTCAGCATGAGGTGGTTTGTTTCAGCCCAAAGTAGAAGTCTGCTGTGGTGTGATTTTTGCCTCTTTTGATAACATGGCATAAATTTCCATAGCTGAACACTACAAAAGTTGGTCACACCTTGTAAAAACTGTATTATACAATTAAGTCATGAGGCATTCCCTCCTGGGATC